GCATGCTGTGTTAGCAAGAGAGCAGTGGGAGAAGCTCAGAGGCTCCAAGCCCAGCAATACCCTAGGCACCTTCTCAGATATTTTTTATAAGAAGTATTTTTTTAATTCCAATTTGCAAAAAGCATATCCCATCCTGTAAAGTTTATAATCTGTATTTTATATTTAGGATAGGGGGAAGGACAAGACTTACTGTATTTTAACCCCTGATTCCTCCATGACAGAGTCAGTGAGGTTCTCTGACTCCTAGGCTACTGGACCTGGGAATCTTTCCCAGCCCAAAATACAACTTTTTTCTGACAAAGTATATTGTAGTCACTAGGTTAGATGTAACCCACAAATGAACATCATTACAAAGTGCTGTCTTACCTGTCATGTCACTACACTGGGAATGAGAGTAGGAAGTAGAATACGAATGGGAGGATTTTCCACCTCCTTGGAAGGCTCCTTGGGAGGCACTGTAAAAGAAGAGCAGTTAATTCACAAAAACCCTGCTAACCACTAGATATTCAATCAAAAAAAGATGTTGATGTAGCTCCATTGACAGGAAGTATCTATTAGCAATTAAGTACGCAAGGATTTCTTTTTATTCCCTTGCTCTAATGTGGAATACGTACCCAATGTCTTGCTGTCCCTCCTGCAGCAGTGCTCGGTACTGAGCAATCTCCTGTTCCAGGCGGGTCTTGATGCCCAGGAGCATCTTGTACTCCTGGTTCTGACTCTCCATCTCACAGCGGATGCTGGCCAGCTCCTCCTCTACAGAGTTAATCTGCCCTTGGATTTGTTGCAGCAGGCAGCCGTAGCGAGATTCGGTTTCTGCCAGGGAGTTTTCCAGAGAGTTTTTCTGGAAGTGGAAATGCAGGAGTTTAGGACCAGAGCTCTACCCATCCCTGCCCCGCGCAGGGGTTTCCCCCTGGGAGGCAGGAAGTGCCCTGCCGATTGACTTCTTCGATCTGCAGGAGTCAAACCCCAGACACACTTTCTGAGTGAGGAAATCCCCTCAGGGAGCGGATGACTGGGAACAAAGATAGACGGGGAGCCTCTCCCTTCCACACTGTCCTCATTGAGGCCAGCCTAGTCATTGCTCCGTCGATGCGGCCACTGCCCCTGCCTTTGCACATCAGGCCTGGCCTGCTCCCCCTCTGCCGCTGCGGTCTTTCGCCAGCAGCTCTGCCCTTCCCATTCCCCAGCTGTGCAAGGGAGGTGGAGGCAAGCAGCGTCCCCCTTTTAGCCAAGGGCATTGCATGCCCGGTACCAGGGTGTCTGGGTTTTCCCACAGGAGGAGACCCCACTTTGTGCATTGCTACGTACCTTGACTTCATACCACTGCTCAACCTCCCTGCGGTTCTTCTCAATGACCTGCTCGTATTCGTTTCTCAGGTCATTCAGTGTCTTTGTCAAGTCTTCGCCGGGGGCAGCGTTGACCTCCACACTCACGTCGCCACCAGTTTGAGACTGCAGCTGCCTCATTTCCTGCAGAGAGTGCGAAGAGAGAAACAAAGCGCACAGGTCATTTCTTGTGTTGGGGACAGCGGGCAGAGCGGTATCAAGGTTCAAGGGAACACCAGTCACGTGACATAAGGCTGAATTGACTTGCTGTGTAACTTTGAGAACCCTGAAGAATCAAAGGACTGTGTCTTGGCCATGCTAGTTATCATTGGATCGTACCTCCTCATGGTTTCTCTTAAGAGCAATCAGCTCATCCTTCAAGGTCTCTAGCTCAGATTCCAGGGAAGATCTAACCAAAGTCAGGTCATCCAGGATATTTCTCAAGCCATTGATATCAGCCTCCACAGTCTGACGGATGACCAGCTCGTTCTCATACCTGTACCACAGACAAGAGAGACAGAGAAATGGGGAAATGAGCTGATGACAGTCAATAGCACACATCTTCCCTAGGTCAGTATCCCAGTAAAACACAAAGAGTCAGTAACACCACTCAGAGCAACACTGCCTTGTCTCCTGACATTAAGAGTGGGATTTGAAAGACATGCATTGTTCACAGAGAGGCACTCACTTCATTCGGAAGTCATCAGCAGTCATCTTGCTGTTATCAATGTCCAGAAGCAGTCTGTTATTGTCCACAGTGGCAGAAATGATCTGCAAAAGGGGAAGGTGGAAAGGAGTCTTTCTGTCTTCTAGACATCCAGGGAAAGAAGTAGGAAGACCCAAAGCTTTGGTATGGCGTAGTTGTGGGTCTTGGAATTGGTTCCTGCAGTAATGCAGGGGCCATGTGAGAGGGTAACACTCCAAATTTACTTTTCAAGGAAACTTGGGCTATCTCAGACCATCCTCCCCAAATCCCTACTCCTTGCTTCTCTTTCCCAAGTTAGAGAGAGTTCCCCATGTGTCCCAAGGAATGCATTCAGCCCTTTTCCAGTGCAGGTGCTTTGGCTTTGCTCTCCGTGCAGCTGAACTGGGTGGGAGCAGAGGGAAAGACGGGAAACCACCCCTGCCTGGTTTGGAGCCACCTGTACAGCGTGGGATTTCAGTTATGTGGGCCAGCATGTTTGGGCCTGGTGGAGCACTCCCGGTGCCTCTGGCTGTGCCCCCAGGGCACATCCCTTTTGGTGGCGGGGTGGTGTGGGGGTTTGCTTAGCCGAGAGATGGGAGGCACAGCTCAGCAGGTTTCTGCCTGCGGTCCCACCAGCAAGGCCGTCCAGTAGGTGCCTCCCAGCCCCTTAGAGCCCATGCCCAGGGAAGGAGGAAGTCCTTACAAGTGAGAATAGAGCGCGGGAGATGGAGCCGCGTTGGTCGGGGCTACCTTACCTGATTCTGGAGTTGTTCAATGGTCTGGTAGTAGGAGGTGTAGTCCTTTGAAACACTGGGAGCTTGTTTCCTGTACCACTCCCGGATGTGGTGCTCGAGTTGAGCATTTTCCTCCTCCAGCCTTCGCACTTTGTCCAGGTAAGCAGCCAGGCGGTCATTGAGGTTCTGCATGGTGACCTTCTCATTGCCGCTCAGAAGGATGTCCCCCCCAGCACCAAAGCCTCCTGCAAAGCCACCACCAAAGCCTCCTCCCAGGCCTCCGCCAAAGCCACCAGTAAGGCTGCCAGCACCCATGCCCCCTCCGTAGCCAATGCCGCATGCTCCCCCACCATAGCTTCCACCGCCTATCACAGAGGAGGCGTATCGCCTGCAGGAGACGGAGGAACTCCTGCCACTGCCGCCACCGCAGACGCCTCCACCTCCACCTCCACCGCTCCTGTAAGAGGTACTAGATGTTCTCTTGATGCTGCAGCTCATGGTGGAAGTAACCAGCTATCCAGCCCCAAATGCAAAGCCTGCTGCACAGCTTGATACAGAGAACCAAACTGCAGCCTCCTGTCCTCGCTGATGGCTATTTATACCTTGCTGGGTGGGTGTCACCTGTAAGGCAGTCCAGCTTCCCATGAAGTCTGCCAGCCTTAGTTGCTCATGCCAAAAGTGATGTGCTAAGGAAATTTTGTCTGAGGTAACTAAAAAGCATTACCGTTCTGTTCAAGTATGTCTGTGTTGATTCACACAAAGCATGCACTATAATTTTATGTGGGTGGCTCTTTGTTGGATATTTTGTTGGATAATATAATATCTCAATAGCTTCTGCTAATCTGGCAATATATCACCAGTAATAGGAGTTAATGAAGGCTCCACCTTGGTTGCCTGTCTCCTTTGGTTTTCCGTGTGGTGAAATTCAGTATTTCAGCTTTTGTCTTCCTCCTGTGATCACAGACAATGATTCGTAAGACTGGTAGCCTCCAAGGGACTCTTCATTCATTAACTTATTTGAAAGTTACATTAGATATTTAGAAATCTACTTTAGTTTACTGAAATAAATTATTGATTTTAAAAACCGTATTCCCATGCCTGTTATAGAAGAGAAATTTACACTGAGGTTTTTACTCTGTTGTCACTGCTTACATTGAGGAAGGTCCTGCTGGTATTTAACTGTTTCTGAAAGTGCAGGATGGTGATTTCAGTCATTTTTCTTGTTGAAGAAAACTGGGTGACAGCCACAAAAGTAGCCTTTTGCAAGGGAAAACGTATAAAATCTTTTCCTATAAAGCAACCACTAATTTTATTTTATCTGTTTTAAATAAGACTCAGAGAAAATTGAGAGGAGGAATTTCTTTCTGATTTTCATAATCATATTAAAAATAGCCTTCTCAAAATATGACCTTGAATTATATATTGCATTAAAAAAAAGTTTGATGAAAAGATATAGGGCCAAAGATTAGATCTGAAAAAATATAATTATTATCTGAACTCGTTACAGTGAATTGTGTTTGCCAATGGCGAGAGAATATCTTGCAACACAAAACACCGAGTAAGATACAATTGTGTATTTTTTTCCACTGCCGATGCAATATGGGATGTTCAGTGAGTTGCTTTTTCCAACTTTACTAATCAAGCTTCTATGAAACTGAGCAAAGCCTTGAACAGAAACGAATGCTTGGGTTAAATATGGGCACTATAACTCCTCCAGAGCAGTCATTTGGCTAGTACAAGGGAAGCAGAAGGAGCTGGTGGAACCTCCAGTGAACTACCACCTCAAAATCAGCTTATCCACAGCAAGGGAGGATGAATTCAACCTAGAAGTATTTTAGGAAGAGATTCCACATTACAGAAGAAGAAATAAACTCACTAAAATTAGCAAAAGAAGAGTGAGATGGGATTGAGTCACCTTACACATGAAGGTACGCATCAGAGGAGGGAGTAGGATTGTTTGAGTTTGAAGACAGTGTGCCTGCCTGTGCCCCATGGATGTAGAAAGAGCTGGGGCTGAAGTCCTGAACGGGAGCACCTTTCGACTGTGCTTTGCTCTGGGCGTGTGGCTGCTGCCATTCGGCTTCTCAGACACCCGGTGAATCAGCCCTCCTACCTGCCTGCCTGCACAGCACAGGCACCAAGGAAACTTCTTACAAACAAGATTCCTGCTCCCACCATGCCTCTGAGAACCGGCAGACAACGACTTGAAAATAGTACAGCTTCACCCTGGGTGAAGCCATATTCTTGTAGAGTTTTGGGGGTTTTTAATAGGTTTATGATTTTACAGTAGGCTTTTTTATATCCATATACCTAATTTTCTTCATTTTATATAGAAAGGCTTGTCAACAAAATGTTATTGAATTGGAAGGGGAGGGGTATGAACTGTTGCCACTAGAATGTTATCTGCTATCCGTAGAAGTGCTTAGTGTTTAGAGGCTTAATATGCGATGAGATATAAACTTGAGGTGCTGAATCCCAGAGCTTGATTTCAGCTGCCTAAAGGCGTGTCCTTGTAGGTACTGCCCATGACTTCCACCAAACCTAGAGGTGTTAGCTCTGACTCCAGACGGAAAGGGACTTCAATATGTGGGAAATACTTCCTAAGAGAGAAACAAAATTTTGAACTTAAAATGAAACTGAAGCATGAAAAAATCCACAAAATTACAACTTATCAACAGAGAATGCTGTCGTATCCTTGGTCACGGTGTGCCTCCTTCCGAGGCTGAAACGCTCCAGGATACTCTCTAATGCATGTGCAGAAGGTTTTCTCTATACCTTTTCCACTATTCCTTGAATCTTTTCCACCTCTATCATGTTATTTTTGATAGGCTCACCAAAGTTACAGCACTCAAAATACAGCCCAGGATATCCATGTGCCCTAGACTTATACAGTGGAATTAATGATGTTCTTCATTCTGATCTTCTGTATATTGAATGGAGAATCACCTCTGTGGCCACAACCTTCAAGGGGGCATATCCCCAAATTTCCTAGTTCTCCATGGAAAACCCCAGGTGTATTCCATTTATCCAAACATTCCCACTGTCTAGATCCACAGGGTTTTCCTCAGTCTTTGTTCAAGATGCAGTGAGATTCCTTATTCCCCTTTCAAACTCTCTTTTTAATTGCCTTAGCCACACTAGTGACTTTCTCCTGAAAATCCTTCATTCCCTCAAACTGTGTCTCTTACTAGGTGCTGTCCCCATTCTGCCTGTTTTAACCCCTTCTAAACTCCATCATACGATGTGTAGCACTTAGTGCTTGTTGGGCAGCAAGGTATTTGTGAGACAGGGAGGTAAATACTCTTTAAAGCTTAATTTAAAGTGTAGATTGACGTCTGTGGAGGTAGTTGTAACATATAAGGTGTAAGAGGTAACAATATAGTACCCTCTAGAGGGCTCTGGCATAAGCACAGTTGATTACTTTGAAATAATCCACATCCCATTTACTACGAACATCAGTTCTCTTCCCAGATGATGTGCGTAGGCCAGGTATCTAAAGCAGACACAGAAATCAGCATTAAGAGAATCCCGTTCTCCCTGTTGTGTGCCACTGGAAGTATTTGTGTAGCACAAAGTCTGTTTGACAAGTCTGCACAACCTGGTTCATGCAAGCGCAACACGAATACAGATTTCGTTTTGGTGTAGGTCAGGTTATTTCTATTTCCCTGAATGGTTTCCAGGTGTTGAGATAGTTTGCATGGCAATGTGATCTGTATTTCTGGCAGTTAATTTTGCATCTATTCTCTCGATCCATATCCTTGTGCGTCGACCTGTTTTTACCCTTAACCAACGATGCTAGCCCCTGTTCCACACAAGCCATGTCTTTTTTGACTCTTTATTCACCACTAGAGGCCACTCCCTGAGCACACTGCCCTTCATCAGCAGTTAAGCCTGCAAGTTCATGTACAAGTGAAAGCTACCCTTCACTTGGGCAGCCTCAGGGTAATTTTGGCCCCTCGTTTGCCCGGGGCACTCTGCTGGCCTTTGGAGCTCGGACTGCTGCGTGCCTGTTCCTTAAAACTTAGCTTCACCATAGACATCCTATCTTGGACAGGGTTAAGACAGAGCCTTCTGCAAAGAGCTGTGTGAGCTGAATCTGCCTCGGGGGGCAACTATGGGAGACTGGCAGGCTGGGCAGGCACTAGTATTTGATGTTCCTTTCCAGGTTTTCCACTGCTGGGTTTCCTTGTGAGCTGCACAGCCTACAGTTGTCTAGGTGGTAGCTGTACAATGGACTGAGGAATTCAGGTGCTAACTTCTCATTACAATTAATAAAGCTGTGGTTTACAATCTGCCTACTTTGGCAGCCCTCTCTCCTCCAAAATATCATGCAGAAATTCCTGAGATTCCTCAAACATGCACAAGAGACTGCTTTGAAAGCCTAGGACAATAAATTTAATTTAGTTTGATCTCTGAATTTGTTAGTCTCCAGAAGGCAAAGTTATTTTTTTCAACTAAGTCTCCTCAGACAGGTTTTTTTTCACAGGGATGGGCTGCAATGAAACAAGGCACTGTTTGTTTTCATGAACAAAGTTGTCCCAATCATTGGAGAAAGCTATACTATAATTTCTTGGAAATAATGACTATAGGAAAGCTGGACAGAAGCAAATGCAGCTCCCAAAAGATAGCTCATAACGAGAGAGTGCTTTCTGATTATTTGTTTGTTGAGCTGCTCTCAGCTGTTGCAGCAGCCAAGCAATCAAATTTTTGGCAAACTTTAGCCAGGAATGTTTTTAAGTAACAGTTGGGTGTGGCTGAAAGAGTTTATGCTAATTTTCTTCACAGTACAGATCTCCCTATATGCAAAAGTAAACATTCCAGGTACTTTCACATGTACTTCATTTGTCACAGGTGGAAGGCAAATATTGCTGTTAGTATGAACATTTTACGGGGGAAAACTTTGTAAAGAGCTTGTAAACTCTATTTCCTTTCAACTTCTTTTTCTTGTCTGTTCAAAAACAGATCCCTAGTTTGTGCATTTCCAGTTTAAACCGATGAGCGTCAGATAAGTTTTTTGTGAATCACAAATTGAAACATTCCTTTCCTTTTACAATCATAGTTCCGTAATCATTCATGTTGCTTTCTGTCAGGCCTGGGTGGGCACTCATTTGATGCCAACTTTATCAGCATTCCTTTTTTGTGCTGAAATTCTGCAGTCTGTTCTGGGCTGACAGTCAACTGCTATTGAGTCTTAGAGCTCAGCTCCACAAGAGTATCTGGTGTGCTATTAAAAACCACAGGCACAGCACAGGATGCTCCAAGAAGATTATGAGCTGCCCTGAATGCTCACGAATTATGCTTTAACTCCAAATTTCATTATCATCACTGTTGTAATGCTGCATCAGCTTCTCTACCTGGAGGCATGTGTTGGCATGGTTTTGTGTTTTCTTTTTAAGTGTTTATACCTACAGAATGGAAGAAAACCTACACACAGGATTCTGCTTGCATCAGACAGAAATGAGGTTTTATTAGCGACATTTTCCTGATACAGAACAACC